AACAGTTCTTCCCGTTTGGCGGCGGGGTCCTGGTATTATTAGGGGCCCGTTAGGCGACGGGGCTTCAGCACCATGTTGCGAGGGCGCGCCTCTTCGCCTCGTGTAGCGAAGGGATTTTCACGCAGCTTGGATTTCGGACCAGTGAATTTTGGCTTCGACTTGAGCGGAATCGCATTGTTCGGCCGACGGGCTCCAACATCATGACGAAATCATGTGTTCGGGGAAGCCCCAAGCGAAAACCGCAGTTCCGACGGTTAAACTTTAGATATCAAAAGGGTTGCCCGAGTCGAAGACGCAATTCCGCTGGAGATCTCTTTGGAAACACCATGTCGACCGAAGTCGATTTTTTGAATTCAAAGTCGAAGTGCCGATTTCGCTCCACATTTCTTCCAAAACAGAAGTCGAAACACATTCGGTTCAAAATCGAAGTGGCGATTTTGCCCAGGACTCTCTCCACATCTCAATTCGGGCCCTGTCAGGTTCGATGTCGCTATGAGGGCGGGCGTCTTGCTGCTCGCAGGCTCAGGCGCTCAATGACGTGATGGTCCCTGCCCAACATCGGAGCCTTTGTGTCGGCTTTGTCAGTGGGGCCACGAAACGGGTCAACACCTCCGTGTAATAGCGGCGATATAATGTGGACGTGTTGCTTTAGAGGCTGTGAGGGTCCAGAAAGTGCGTTGTGGAGCTGAATCTCCCCCTGGGGGGAGGGGAGGAGGGAGGGGGGAGCGGCTGCGCATGCCAGACAAGCGGGGGGCCGGCGGACGAGCCTCAATCCAGATTGTTCGGAGGGATTGGATGACGCTCCAGCAGGGCCTCGCGGCACTATGGCCGACAATTCCGCCATCCTCCTTCCTCCCTATTCCTTCATCCTTCCTCGTCTGTCCTTCCTTGCCTCCTCTAACTTTGCCACCCAACGCTTGGGTGGAGCCGCACCCAAGGCGGAGCGTTGCGCTACTTATCTGGTTGCGGGAGTGGTGGGAGCGATTCCGAAAGGGTCTATCCAGCGCAGGTTTCTGCCAGGATGGATCTGAGGTGTTCAGCGTGCGTGCGTCCTTCAGTACGCTATCGTCCGTGCAACGTTCAACACTCTATCTTGTTTTGATTTCTAGAGATTGCGTGGAGGCTCATCTGTCGCAGCTTGGCCTTGATGGTAGTGCTTGGTATGTATGTTGTTGCATCCGAGCTGAGAGCCTGTCCAAGAATAGGTACGGCCGCGCCGCTCGTCGAGAAACAAGTCCAGGGGCCGTCCAGGATCTTGTTATGCAAACTCCTCTGTCTGGTTGGGGATGGCTGCAGCCCCCCCCAGCCCCGCCCTCCCGCGAGGAAAGGGAACGAGTCGGGAGAAGAGGGCAAGGACCTGAAGGAGCTGCTGCCGAAGAGCGTATGCGCAGGCCGTATACTCCCCTCAACATCCTGCCTCCACATCCTTCCTTCACACCTCTCTTCTGCTCTTAGATTCTCCGCCTTCGTCTCCTCCTTAACATTATTCCAACCGCATGTTTGCAGTGCGCTGTGATTTGAGAGTTTCTCCGCAATATTGTTTACTTCCTGATCCGAGTTATTGTTCGCTGAGGGCTGGGAGTCTCAAGGGCAGTACATCACGGCGGCGCAGGCGCGCTACCGGAAACACGGCTGGGTTCAACCAGGTCTCACGGCAGGGAGGGCTGCGATGACGTGGGAGTGGCCTTGACGCTGGGCGTCACGGCGGGCCACCTTATCGAGAGCATCGAGGCGCTCCACCTCCCTTGGAGGGAGCCGCTTGCAATGCGTCTTGACGAAATCTGCACAACGGGGGCGACGTTTATCGCAAAGGTGCGTGATGCAGCGCACGCGATTTCGGAAGTCCACGCCGCAACACGGGCAGATCGAAGAAGAAATTAATTCACGCAAGGGCGTACGAATTCCATGCTTGGCTCTGGAATGCGACTCCAAAGCGCGCTGCGTGGCAAACGCGGCCGAACACAGCGCAGCAATGCACAAGAGCTCTGGAATCCTCGATACCGGCAGGCTTAGCGTGGTCACGCAGAATCGCAGTAAAATATTGCATCTACTCGCCTGCTCCACCCTCGCTCATCGAGCATGGCCTCCTGCCAAGTCGGCGGGTGCGTGTCGAAAGAAGGCAAGTCCGCGAAAAAGCCTCGAGCCTGCAGGAACGCAGCGTCGTGCTGCAGCGCTCGCACCCAGGGAAGGCATTGCTCCCCCTTGCGGAAATGGAGCAAGCTGATAAGCGTCAGGGGACGGTTCCGGACAACGCGGCCCACGTACCGCCATCGCGCAACGCTTAGCACGCAGTCGATGGAAGGCATGCTCATCCTCTCTCTCAGCTCCGCGTCGCGATAGTGCGTGTTAGCTGAGAATCTGGGGTCCCCGTGAATGCGGCGAAGACCGCGCATGTACACATGGTTCAGCCGTCTGATTTCCTTGGGCTTCACTACGAAGATATGGAGGTTGAAGATCAAACGGCTAACCACCAGGCTCCGAAAGAACATAATGCGGAACGTATCGGCAATGAGCGTAGACCCGTACAACTTCATGGCCAAGGGGGCGTAAGCACCCATAGCGCTCTTGATGTGATGTAAGACGTTGCTCACGTGCATGCCAGGACTGTCGAGGGTAGAGCCAAGGTGTTTGCACCAAGGCACAATGCGGAGCAGTCCGTCGTGCCCGTACTGTTGTAGCGGTATGCCCAAACTCCCGTCCACCTGCCGCCATTTCTCGAGCGCGGTAGCGGCTCCAGTCCCCCGGAGACGAAGAACGCACTCGGACTTGCCGGGGCCCCAATTCAGCTCTAGGTGGCAAGATCTGAATACCGAAGTCAGCGTGTCGAGAACGATGTGGATGCTCGTCATCATGGCGGTCACCGACGACGCCACGAGGAAGATAGCCTCGTCATCAACAAACGTGACGCCCAGCGCGGCCTGGGAGGCAGGATTGCCGGGAGTGGGGCGATTCCAAAATGCGCCCTCAGGAGTGTGCACGTTTAGCGCAACTCCAGCGCGCTGGAGACGCCAATGCAGCGCGTCCAATGCTATGCTGTATGTACTATTGAAGACCACGGCGCCTAGGCAGCACCCCTGGCGACCCCCGGTGCGTGAAGAAAAGCGCCGCGTGCCACCGCGTACGCTGTACCAGGCGCCTTCGTGCAGCGTCCGGATCATGTCGCGGGCGTCGCAGGGGGCCCCCCACTGCTCGAGAAGAGGGCCGCGCTCGATCAAGTGCTCGGCGATCCATGCTGCCGGCTCCTCAGAGACACCCAGATCGCGGAGGAAGTCCAATTGCCGGTCACAAGGTACCTGCCCCCATCCCATTACTAGCTGACGGATCACTCTGTCGAACGCTTTGACAAGATCCAAGTACAGAATAAAGATGCCCCAGCCCATCATCGAGGCGATGTCGGCCATCGTGGCAACGATATGCGATGCGAAGTCGGTGCCCCTGCCGGCCACAGCCCCGTGCTGGTTGATGGGCATCTTGGCAGTGTACACGTCCTCAATCGACCGCTTGAGCATGCCAGTCAGCGCTTTGCCAGCATGATTTGATAGGAGGAGTCCGCGGTGGTCATCGCACTCGTGCACGCTGCCCTTCTTCTTCCAAACGCTGACAATCTCCCCGCCCTGCCACTGCGAGGGCCAGCGTGTGGAGGATGCTACGGCGGCGTTGATGTCCCCATACTTGGGCGCAGTGGCACAGCCTCCGGCAGCAAGGAGTTCCCCAGGGATCTGATCAGGCCCGACACTTTTGTTGCGTCCAAGCTTGCCGAACGCTACGCGCGTCGACTCAGGGCCATAATTGGCCACAGCTGTGGTGTCGCACACATCTGGAGGGTAACTGTTGGCGCTGTCTTCGAGGGCCTGCCCTCGATATACCTCCGAGTAGTGCTCCTCCCAGCGCTCCGTGGCCTCGCGGGTGGACGTGGTGAGAGCCCCGTCTTTGCGCCTCACCGAAGAAGTTGGCGCACTCTTCTTCGCACCGAGGGCCCGAGCAACGGCATAGCCAGTGCGCATGTCTGACGTGAGCATGGCGCGCTGGGCTTGTCTGGCTAACGCCTGGAGGAAAGCAGCACGGTCGCCAGCAAGTGACGGTCGGGCCCAGTTCTGGAGTCGCCTGATCCACCTGCACCACGCTGCCGCGCGCGACCGGGCCTCGTTGCAGGTAGTGATGTTGTCAAGCGCGTCGCCAACAACAACCCACATGGTGAACTTCACGCTCGGCGGGGGGCGCGCACGAGCCTTCATATAAGCTGCCTGCCACACCCGGAAAGCCCCGCGGACGGCCGCGGGGAACGCGCCGCGGCGCACTTCATGCATGGCCCGGCTGGCAGGGGCGATCAGCCGTATGATCTCCCACGTCGTAGCGGAAATCCACGCCTGCCTGGGGGCATTTTTTGGAGGGCCAAACACTTCCCGAGCGCACTGTCGAACGTGAGAGTTCAAGGATTCCGATTGCACCCAGACGCGCTGCTGGAACAAGTCGCAGAGCTGGGGACACCCCAACGCCGTCTTGTTCACCTTGAACACCGCCGGCTGCTTGCTGCAGCCCTGGTGGGCCGCTGCCGGGATACGTTCGGTGACATTGATGGGCCGATGGTTTTCATACTCGTTGAAAGTCAAATCGATGCCAGGCGCAACCTGGCACTGCGTCACGAGGTCCTTGGAGTCGGCCAAGATGTAGTCGATGCGACGGCGGTGCCCACGAGTAGAACACCAAGTAGTCCCAGCTGGCCAGAACGTGTTGACGGCATACAGGTGCTCCTCGCCAGCGAAACGTCGCAACAAGGCCCCGTTGTCATTCTCCACCTCGGCGTCCACAGTGCCAATATACTGGGAGGCTGTGGGCCCCGTGCGCCCGTTGGCATCGATGCGATCCGGATATGGGCTGTGTGAAATTTGGCACGTACTGTAGACATGGTCTCGCTCAGTAGGTGCCAAAAGTCATGGTGGGCCTCCTCCGACCATCCCATATGCGGCGCATGCGCGACTACAACTACAAGGAGAGCCCCGCTCCGGAGCTGCAGCGACGCAGACATCATCCGAGGTGACGCGTTCTGCCAGTGAAGCACCTGCACGTGGGCGCCCAAGCGGACCCACAGCTGAACTCCTGCCCGGGTGGGGCAGGGCGTCGGGTGCCGTATCTGCACGGGCTGGCCGCTCCTCCGCTTGGGCTCTCCTCGCTCGTCCGGTCGAGAGTCGGCGGGCAAAGTTTCCCCGCGGAGGTGGGCCGCGGTGGGTCCTCGCCGCGGCGGCGGCGAGCTCCCGATGCCTCCTCGGGTTTGCGGAGCCGCCTCGTCGAGGCCTGGCTTTGTCCAGGTGGCCGTCCAGCGCCGGAAGTGTGGGCGGGGGAGTGGTCGCTCTGCGGGAGTTCCGCCTCGCCGTTGGGCGCTTTGCTCCTGGGGGGCGGGCGTCTCTGCTGATGGGCCTGTTTTCCACCACCACCACCACCATAGTTGGAGGGAGGGGGTCCTCTTCCTCCTCCTCCTCCTCTTCCTCCTCCACCTCCTTCCCCCGTCCAACTTATGGCGGTGGCGGTGGGAACTAGGCCCGTCATCTCCGGGCTGCCTTGACCCTTGTGCCCACGTAGCCGAGCTGGAAGCTGAGTGGGAGGTCGGGGGCGTTGGGTGGACTGCTGGTCGAAAGACCCGCGGTCGAGACGGTCGAAAGACCCGCGGAGCAGAGGGCATCCCAATGTTCCTGGCGCGGGACCGCAGCCTAGCGCAGGCAGTGTTTATCACAAGCGTTTCGCAAGCTCCCGTCGTCGACAATGGTTTGTGCACGCCGAATCTGGCAGGGACATCCGGGAGGCTATTGCTGGTCCAGTGCGTCTCGAGGGCGACCAGGAACGATGTAGGGAAGCATTGAAGTTCTATGGCTGCCCTGAACCGAGCTCTTAGGGCGCCCATGACGCTGGCCCATGTAGCCGTCGACAGGTGGTTGCCAATAGGTTTGGCAGGACAGCGTCAGAAATAATACCAAACACATCAGTTCCACAAGGATCTCGACATGAAGCATAAACATAGTGCGAGTAATCTGCCCGCGCGCATTCGTTAGTAACCATTAGAGAACCATCTGCTAAGCGCAACCTCGCCTATATGATAAGCGCAAGCTCGCCCATATGCTAAGCGCAACTATTCTTCCACATAGTGTATCCTCGTTGATCCGGCATGCGCCCAGCGCACGGATCCGTATCAAACAATATCATGAGGGGCCACACGCACCCGCCGTCACGCGAGCGTGTCAAAATGTTTCCAGCACCAGTTGTTTTCGAAGTATTTTGAAACAGAGCCCTTCAAGCTTGTATGAACAATTGTTTGTTTTGAAGCAAACATTTGCCAGGTTTTATGGGTTACCGAGCGCGCGCGCCTCCTCACTATTCTTCCGAACCAAATGACCAGCTCTGCGCGCGAGCTTGCGCGCGCCAACACGGCCGCAGAGATGCGCCAGCCATGGACACGCAGCCATCGCAATCATCGCCGCATGGGTTTTGTAAACCAGTTTCCAGATGGGAGGGTGGGTTGATGGCGCGAGCACTGGAGTTGACGACTCACGAGTTGGCAAACATGAGTCGCACCATGTAGACTGCTCCACATGGAGAGAGCCTCATACATTGCACTACACAGCATGCACCACACCTATATTGAACCGGATACGGTGCATATTGCACCACACATGTTGCGCCTCACATACATACACACACCTCTCTCCTTCTCGCTCTACATGTATATATCATCCAGCAGCTTCCGCCGCATGTGGCACACCCCGCAGATTGCACCATGCAGTTTGCGCCACACAGATTGCGCTGCATGGGCTTGACCACATGGATTACCCCAAATACTGGGCATCATATGTTGCATACCGAGAGTGCGAGAAAGACATGGGGGGATGGGGCTCGCGCTGACCATCATGTCCGTAAGCGCTATGTCCTCTGCCGCCGGCCCCCTCTATCACACTTGCATGCATCGGAGCTATGTTTGGCTGGGATGTTTCGGCGCCGTTTTGAAGACGTCTGGGAATATCATGCGAGGGCGACGGGTAGTCAGTTGACACCTTGAGATGTTGGAGTTGTTGTTCAACGTTTTTGATCCTTCTTAGAGCGTTTTTCCCACGCTCTGTAGTATAACCCCTCTTCCAACGATTGGGCGCGCGTTTTTGAAGCCGTCTTTGGCAAAATCACGGCCTTGGGGCTGTCTTTGGCTCGTGGATGCGAATCCCGCCCCGAATTTTCAGGAAACATGTAGATTGGGGTTGGGCGGGGTGGGGGGCGGGCGGGGGGGCGAAAAGCGGCGTCGGGAGCGCGTATCTCTTGCAATTTAATGTGATTATGGTTGCGGGAGCGTGAGTCTGGCGTCAAGTATTCAATTACCAGGGATTGCGGCTTCGAGAGTGCGACTTGGTGTAATTGACAACATGGCTTTGGTCCCAGGAGCGCGAATCTGGCGCACTGCATTTTGCACGAGATTCTGGCCTCGAGATCGCGAATGTGGCGTAAACTGCAATGGATTCTGACCTCGTTAGCGCGAACTTGCCAACATTTCAAGGGATTCCGGCCTCGCGGGACCGCAGATCCGCCGTACTTCACAAATCAATCTTGTCGTGGGGGCGCGCACCCCACGCATTTCAACGTGTCCCAGACCCCCCAGAAACGTCGGGGACGGCATCCGGTTCCTTCTCGGTTCCCCCACCCTCGCGCTGAACAATCTATAGGAAATAGCCGAAGGTAGAACTATTACACTGCAGACTGGAAACTTGACCTAGAGCAGGTTGCAGGAAAGCCTCCGCCACGCAGCCTGGTGGCCCCACACGGGGGCCGGCGGATCTTGCCTGTAGGGCCACTGGTATCACCAGAGAAGAATTAGAACAGCCAGATAGATGCGCTGTATTTTTCTGATTTGTGTTCGGCGGCGCGTCGTTCTGCTCTGAGTTGTCGTTTGTGTTGAATCGAAAAATCCAGTCAACCTCCATTAAAGGCTGCGCTTGCCTCTGACTCCGTTTTGGCATCCTGCGTGCATCTGCTGGCCAGGTGGAGTCTGTAATGGGATGCTGCCTGGATGCCACAAGACTCAGGCTCCCGAGGGGGGGGCCGGAAAATGAGAGAGCAGGAGGGGAAGGGCGGAAAGGCAGAAGGAGGAGAGGAGGCCAAACTGACTGAGCGCTTGCAGAAGCAGCGATCGTATAGCACGCCTAGCAGTAAGTGGGTGTGTAAACGCGACGAACTTTGCGTGGAGGAGTCGGGGCAACACCAGCAGTGACCTCACAGATTGAGTTGAATTGGCAGTGAAATGAGAACAGGCATCATGTGACGAAGTTCTGCAGTCATCTGCAGATAACCGCCGTCGTCCCTTCGATTCGTTGTCTCGTAATCCCGCGTTGTGTGATCAGGCCATTCCCAACATATTTGGATCACGGCTTAGCGAAGGTAGCGAACAACGGCCAAGGAAAAGGAGGATAAAAGGCGAGGAGAAAGATAAGTAACATGAAGAGCGTGGAGGAGGAGGACGAGGAGGAGGAGGAAGTAGGAACAAGTTGCGAGGAGAGAGGCGGAAGGAATTACATCATATACGAGGGTGGTTTGAATTCTAGACGCTTCGCGTATCCCCACCAGCCCGTCCAGAAACGACGCCCAGGCGAGTAGAGGGTCGTCCTGAGGGGCTTTTCGGCGTCTTGGGTGCCTCGGGGGGGCCTCTGTGGGCCGTTCGGGATCCTCTTTGGGGCCTCCTGGGGGCCTCCTGGGGGCCCTTGAAGGCCCTGCTGGGGCGCTGTTGGGGCAATCTTGGAGGACATCGGCCAAGGAAGTAGGGTTCCTTAATTAGAGCCCCCCCCCAGGAACTCCAAAAATCGTCTCCTGTACCGCTCTGGGACCGCTCTTGGAGTGCTCTTCGGCGCTCTTGGCGCCGTCATGGGGCTTTCTTGGGCCCTTCTTGGAGCTATCTTGAGCCATCTTGGAGCCATCTTGACGCCTCGGATGTGCATCGCAAGCGAAAAAGTGAGAACACCAACAACATTTATTTTCCCTAGGGTTTTGAAGCATTTTGGCCTCTTGGATGCATCCTAATGATGCTCTTGTGAGCACTTGGAACCGTCTTGGAGAGTTCTTGGAACGTCTTGGAACATCATGGGGACCATCTTGAGGCATCTTGCGCTATCTTGAGCCATCTTGGAGGGTATCTTGGGCTCCCTGAGGCCCTCTTGGAGCCGTCTTGGGCCATCTTGGGCGCTCCAACGCGCCGCGGAACCCCCTGTCCAGGTCAGCTGGGAGGGGGTAGGGGGAGGGGTAAACCCCTCCCCGAAGGGGAAGAGGGAGGGGTGGAAGAGGAAACTCGTTAAACCACCGACGCCCAGAGGGCTGGTGGGATTTCTCAGAGGTTTATGAGCATCCCCTCAATGGGTCGATTAATTCATATAAACCCGAGCATCATCCTAAGTCAACCCGACTTACATTTCCACAGACTCCCCATTCAGAGCTGACAGACAGTTTTGATGCGGAAGCCGTGCCGGAGAGGGCCAGCAACATAAGAAAATCTCAGCTGGAAAATCCAGCAGATTTTCGAGGGAATGGGCGCACGCCCATGTCCACAGACTCGCGGGTCTGGCCCCTGGGCCGCGACCCCATGGATACGGGGCGTTGTTTAGCGGATGCCCCGCGCGAAACGAATCCATGGGAACTTGGATCCACGGGATCGCGCCCTGGAATCCAGTTCGCGAGCGAGTCCATTGATACGTGTGGTCATGTTCGCCGCTCGTGAGGTCTCTGCCACCGGGCGCCGGAGCCCGCCCGGGGACTCCCCCTTGGCCTCCAGAAGCGCCCGCTGCTGGTGGGTTCGGTAACAAATCATAGGGGCCTCGTTTGCCCTCGCAATGCCGTCTTGAAGAGTGCATCAGCGCGCGCGTTGAGCCAGCGCCGATCTAGCGTCGATTAGCGTCGACTTATCCCTGAGGGCTGCGCCCCCTTCCGCCGGCCCCCTCTCTCGGAGAATGGATCATGCAAGAGCTACGTCGTGAGTTCCAGGCGCCGTCTTGAAGCAGTGTCAGAGCCTCATGCGAGGACGATAAGTAATAGGCAAGAAAGATGCCGATTCAGATGGTATTTGTTGCATTCGGTGTTGAATCTTGGAATTGCCCCCGCATGCTGCGCATTGGAGGCCCTCTTGAAAAGACTGGGGGCTGCTTGAGGCGAGAGTGGGCAAATTCGCGCGGCTGGGGCGGTCTTCGGGCTCCTCTTCGTCTGTTGTATTGGACTGAGGCCTCGGGGGCGCGAGTGAGCCGTAATCTTTCAGGAATCCTGGCCTCGGGGGCGCAAGTTTTGTGGAAGTGAGAAAGGACTTATGGCCTCGGGGACGCAAATATTGTATTATTTGACGCCGTCTGTGGCATCGGGGACGCGGACACGTTGTACTTTATAAAGATTATGGCCTCGGGGACGCGAATATTGTTTAATTTATGAGGGTTAAAATTTCGGGGGCGCGATAATTAGGTAATTAACACAGGTTTACGGCCTCGGGGACGCAAGCATCGTGTATTTTAAGCCTCTGGGACACGAAATTGCGGAATGTACAGGGGGTTTGGCTTCGGGGATGCAATTATTGCGTAATTTAGAACGGTTTATGGCCTCGGGGGGCGCAAGCATTGCGTACGTTCCGAAGGCTTCCGGGGGCACGAATGTGGCGTAATTCAAAAGGGATCGTGGTCTCGGAGGCGCGAATCTAACATTTTTTCGCGATCCAGGGCCCCCCCAGAAGTTCTGAGAACCCTCCTGGGGGAGGATCACCAGGGCAGTTTTCGGCTCCACCCCCTCGCACGGACAGGACCAGTTTACAGTAGGAAGCAGAAGGCAATTTGTAACATTGGAAGCTGGAAACTGGAACTGGTGCAGGGTACTGCAACCCTCAGCCTCGCAGCCTGGTGGCCCCGCAGGGGGCCGGCGGATCGTCTATCAGCTATCAGCGTCGATTCGTATCAGCCAGCGTCGATTCGCAAGAGCCAACAAGAGGTCACGGGAGGCTCCCAGGAGCTGCCACCGAAGATGGGGACGCGGCGGACTCCCGGCGCCACGCGGCCCAAAGCAGCTGTACAGAGCGAGGGCGGGCGAGCGTGCGGCCAGCTGCGGCTGGGGCCCGTGGTCCATATCGATCGATCGACCCGATTCTGTATCGGTTTGGGCCGAATCTAGCCGATTCGGTAGCAGAGGCCCTGTCAAGCCACAAGGGTTGGCCCGTAAAAGGGCGAGGCTGAAGCGCTTTCGGCAAAGCGTGCACGTGCGCACGGGAGAGCCCCGAGGGGGGGGGGGAGACAGAGGAAAAGACGAGGGCGGTCCTTGCGCATGAATGCAATACTCGACGAATGCACCATCACTACTTTCTTACATGATTTGAAACTTGTAGGATGCAGTGCCTATGCAAGACGTCGATGGCGAATCCTCGAATGCGGTCGTCCAATCTCGTCGGAGGACGTCCGCGCGCCCGACGATCCGATGCGGTCCGATGCTCGCATGTCGTTTGTGCATGCTGGCGCGGCTGATCCGAGTCGGTTCCGACCACGTGCCGGTGCGGCCCGATCCGACGCAAGTTCCGATCCGATCCGATTTTCCGATTCGATGACGACTGTTCTTGCCCCCCTGCGCCTCCCGCGCACCGGTTCCTCCGCTGGCGAAGTGGCACCGCCGTGGCGGGTCGAGTGTGTGTGGGCCGCCCGGGGCGCCTCCGCACGAGCTGCGCCCAGTGCTGCGGATGAGGGCCGAGAGGAGGCCGGCAGCGGAGGGGGGAGACTTGCCCCATCCTCCCCACACACAGACGGACGGTGCGGTTCCTCCATCTTGCATACCGTCCTCTCTTCTCCACATCTTCGTGCTCTTCGTCCTCGCCCTCTTCCCCCCCATCTTTTACGGCGGCCAAAAGATGGGGCAGGCCCTAAGGGATGCGGCCCTGAGGATATTCTTGGCCTCCTAAATGGGGTCCGAGTAAATGGGATCGGAGGATCGCGCCGTATCGTCGATGCATCGGCAATGCGGCTCGATGTGGAGCCCGACTTTCTCCACGCTGGAGTCGCCGATGATGCATCGGCGATGCATCGCCGATGCATCGCCGATGTATCGCCGATGTATCGACGATGCTGTGCGACCCTCCGACCCCATCTGCTCCGATCCTATCTAGGAGGCCTCTGGGATAGGAGGGGACCCAAGATTGGGTTCGCACTGGTGAGGCGCCTCGTCCTCAGTCGTGGGCGAAGGCCATGTCCGCAGCCGCGGCCTCGCGGGCCGAGCCCCTGGGCCGCGGCCCCGCAGATGCGGGGGCATTCCTGTTCGCGACTGCCCCGCTCGCAAAGCATCCGTGCCACCGCGCATCCGTGTATCGCGCCCCGGTTTCCAGACCGCGAGGGCGCGGATACGGATGTGTCAAGCAGTGGCCAAGCGTTCTGGCTCGCCCATGGGCCCACCAAAGACTGTTCTGAGAACCTGTTGCGGTTTCCACGAAAGGTTCGTAGAACATTTCTGGCTGGGCCTGTCTTGTTTTAACATGCCGGGTTCTGTTCTAAGAACATTGTTCTTGTTTTTTTGAACATTTAGGGGTTCCGAGAACATGTCGTGGTAGGCCTGTAGGAATGCCGGGACGGTCGGTCCCTGCACAAATGTGGTCGCCGCTCGTGACTTGACTCGGGGCCCCATCCTTCAGGACCCAATCCTGGAGAACCACCGATCCTGCTCGGCAGCAGGGGTTGGCCTGCCAGCCCCCCGCCGCCGCCCGGCGCGGCGAGGGGCGGGCGACCCGGCCGGGCGGAACGCGCGGCGGGCCACGGCGCGCATGGCGCGCGCGGCCTCTGCTGCCGAGCCATCGTCCGTCGAGCCGATGGCCGCATCGCCGTCGTGTAAGTCAGAGGAGCAACATGTACCCATGCCTCTACCCTTCCCTCGTGTTCTCCTTTCTGGGCCTCCTGAGAGGCCCTCGTCGCCACCGCTGGATTCGCCGCGAGATCCTGGCCAGAACGCACCCCGGGAGAGGTCCGGGGAGTAGCAATATCGGTACCTTTTGGTTTCCCCAGGAAGTCCTGGATTCCTTACATATAAGCCCACCAGAGAATGTTCTAAGAACTTTTTGGTGGTCTTCGCGAAGTGTTCCTAGATCATTTCTGGCTGGGACTGTCTTTTGTTTTAGCACATCGGGAATATAGAGCTTTGCTTTTTGTTTCTCGAACAGTTCTGGGTTCTAAGAACATGTCGTGGTAGGCCTACAGGAATGCCGGGACAGTCGGTCCCTGCTCAGCTCCCTCCTCCGAAGACGAGCGAACACACATACGCGTAATTATTCGAAGTTCTGCGCGCATTTCTTGGAGCTGCGCGGGCCCGCCTCGGGCGCCCCCTGGCGCGCTCCGCGGCCCAGGCAGGGGATCCAGCGCCGATCCAAGAAATCCGCGCGGAGCTCCAAACGTATATGTCACGGCTGGATTCGTCGTAAGGTTCCTGACAGCGCACCCCGGCATAGGTCCAGGGAGTGATTGTATCGGTGCGTTTTTGTTCTCCCAGTTTTCCCACCATCCCCCCCACGTCTTGCCCGCCCCCGCTTGCCCATTCTTCCCTATCGCCATCGCCACTCCTTGTCCCCCTCCCATTCCTGTCCCCCCAAACAAAAAACAACGCATCCGCCTGCTGCTCCGTGGTTCCACTTTCCCCCTCTTGCATTCATTCTTGTCCGACGTCGTGGGCAAATACGGCGTCGGCAATGGTTGCCATTGGCGCCAGGTGAACCCGATCGCTATCAAGCAGATCGTATTCAAGCTGGACCGGAACTTCAAGTGGAACGCTAATCGCTCAGGGAAGAAGGCTCGCGATGCGGCGGGTTCCGAGATCGCGCCGCCTCGACGTGGCGGTAACACCAGTGCGGGCTATCTTGGTGCACATTCATGGCCAACGTTCGCGTGGGATCTGTTCATGCGGGAATGCACCTCCAATCGCCCGTTGATCGCCGATCGGGCTCGAAAGCCCAACCGTTTCGCTATCGAGGGCTGCCCACCCCCAAATGTTTTCCGTCACAGACTGGAAACAGCCCCGTGCTGCGAAATACTTACGGAGGATGGCATCGACAGTTGCTCGGGATCTCCGATGGCAAAGGTCGTTTCAAGATTGAGCCAAGCACGCATGGATTATTTGGTTTACCAGGTGAGACACCCTTCATTCCTCACTGCAGTCAGGACGCTGGACTAAGGACCACTTTTGGGCTCAGGAGGGGCTCTTGTTTTCGGGTCGTTCCTTAGATCCCAGGCCCCCGCAATCTATTCGTGGCCCAGGATCGGCGTGGCCAGTGAAGCCCCTTCGTTCCTTGGCGTTCCGTATGGAAGCACGAGGACTGTATCCACCTCTCTCCCTTCCATTCGTTTGTGTGTGTCTCTCTCTCTCATTGTTTTGTTTCTCTCTCTCTCTCTCCTTCTCCCTCTCTCTCTATATATATGTATCCTTTTTTCCAACCATCCTGTGGTGTTGGGTCCTCGTTTTGAAGAGACAGCGCCCCGCGTCCCCTCCTCCTCTCCTCCTCCTCCTCCTCCTCCCCCTCCTCCCCTCCCATCACCACCACCACCATCATCATCTTTCCCAACCATCCTGTGGTGTTGGGTCCTCGTTTTGAAGAGACGGTGCCCCGCGTCTCCTTCTCCTCCCGCTGCCCCCTCCCTCCTCCCCCTCCTTGCCTCTGCTTTCGGCACACCCCTCACACGTTTCGTAGCCCCATAGGGAGCTCCACCGAAGGTCCCAGTGGCACAGCCCGCATGCGGTTCCCCCACCCAGGGCAGCGCTTCGTGGCCCAAAAGGGAGTCCACAGAAGGTCCCAGTGGCACAGCCCGCATGCGGTTCCCCCACCCAGCGCAGCGTTTCGTAGCCCCATAGGGAGCTTCACCGAAGGTCCCAGTGGCACAGCCCGCATGCGGTTTCCCCTACCCAGGGCAGCGTTTCGTGGCCCCATAAGGAGCTCCACCGAAGGTCCCGGTGGCACAGCCCGCATGCGGTTCCCCCACCCAGGGCAGCGCTTCGTGGCCCCATAGGGAGCTCCTTCGAAGGTCCCGGTGGCACAGCCCGCATGCGGTTCCCCCACCCAGGGCAGCGGTTCGTAGGCCCCACCGCATGCGGTTCCCCCACCAGGGCAGCGTTCGTAGCCCCATAGGGAGCTCCACCGAAGGTCCCAGTGGCACAGCCCGCATGCGGTTCCCCCACCCAGGGCAGCGTTTCGTGGCCCAATAGGGAGCTCCACCGAAGGTCCCAGTGGTACAGCCCGCATGCGGTTCCCCCACCCAGGGCAGCGCTTCGTAGCCCCATAGGGAGCTCCACCGAAGGTCCCGGTGGCACAGCCCGCATGCGGTTCCCCCACCCAGGGCAGCGCTTCGTGGCCCCATAGGGAGGCGAAGGTCCCAGTGGCACAGCCCGCATGCGGTTCCCCCACCCAGGGCAGCGGTTCGTAGCCCCATAGGGAGCTCCACCGAAGGTCGAAGTGGCACAGCCCGCATGCGGTTCCCCCACCCAGGGCAGCGTTTCGTAGCCCCATAGGGAGCTCCACCGAAGGTCACAGTGGCACAGCCCGCATTCGGTTTCCCCTACCCAGGCCAGCGTTTCGTGGCCCGAAAGGGAGCTCCACCGAAGGTCCCGGTGGCACAGCCCGCATGCGGTTCCCCCGCCCAGGGCAGCGCTTCGTGGCCCCATAGGGAGCTCCACCGAAGTTCCCAGTGGCACAGCCCGCATGCGGTTCCCCCACCCAGGGCAGCGCTTCGTGGCCCCATGAAGAGTTCCACCGAAGGTCCCAGTGGCACAGCCCGCATGCGGTTCCCCCACCCAGGGCAGCGCTTCGTGGCCCGAAAGGGAGCTCCACCGAAGGTCCCAGTGGCACAGCCCGCATGCGGTTCCCCCACCCAGGGCAGCGTTTAATGGCCCCATAGGGAGCCCCACCGAAGGTCCCAGTGGCACAGCCCGCATGCGGTTCCCCCCCACCCAGGGCAACGTTTCGTGGCCCCATAGGGAGCTCGCCCGAAGGTCCCAGTGGCGCAGTTCGCATGCGGTTCCCCCACCCAGTACAGCGTCTCGTGGCCCCATAGGGAGCTCCACCGAAGGTCCCAGTGGCGCAGTTCGCATGCGTCCCCCCCACCCAGTGGCGCAGTTCGCATGCGTCCCCCCCACCCAGTATTGCGCTTCGTGGCCCCATACGGGGCTCCCCCGAATGCGATACCCACAACTGCATATGGTTGGGTCCTTCGCCAGGCGAATTGTCTCTCCCTCTCTCTCTCTCTCTCTCTCTCCACCCCTCCTGATTATCCTCCCCCTCGCCGCGTCCACCTCGAAACTGGAGGAGGAGGAGGAGGAGGAGGAAAAGAAGGAGGAAGAGACGGGCGCAGAGAGGATGGATGGCCTGGGAGGCCGAGGATGGATGGATGGATGGAACAGCCCCGAGGGGAAGTTCTCGCGAGAATCAAATAGCAGGGTGCGGTGGCCAGCAGGACTTCTGGTCGCAGTTGGGGGGCGCCATCACGCCTGGGCACCACGACAGGCCACCGCACCCTACAAACAACGTCAGGCCTCTCGAGCCTTCTCCTCTCGGATGCGGGCACGCCCCTTGAGGCCTTGAGGGCAGCAAGTCTCTGCTTGTAGACAAAGCTGGAGCTCGACGACGCTGCCGTCGACACTGAGTTGCGCACCATTTGCCTCGGCGATTGGACAATCGCGAGGTGCCTGGACACTGTTTTTCATCGCCCCCTCCGTAACGCTTGTCACGGGGGCTCCGCCCCCCCCCCCCCCTCCCCCGTGCGCGCGGCTGTCGCGGTGCACACATCGGCGGCGTACACAGGCGATGTTGTGCACGCAGGCGTTGTGGTGTACACCGGCGCTGTGTTGCACGCAGCTGCTGCGGCGTACGCAGGCGTTGTGGTGCGCGCAGTCACCCGTGCCTGGGTGAACACAGAAGATGATGTTCTTCCCTCCCCTATCTTTCTCTCCTCACAGGCCCCGGTTGTGCTCGCGGGCTCTTGTTTCGGAGCTTCAGAGACTGGGGTCAATGCAAACGGGGGTCAGCCAGGGCACCAGATCCTGCAGGATCCTGCGAAGACCCTCTCTGGCTGACCCGAGTTAGCGAGCCGCTCGTGGCCGCGAGGCGGCCGCGCATATTGGCTGACACGGGTTTTCGAAGTCCTGCGTTGCAGTTTATTTTCTTCTTGCATTGCAGTTTTTGGTTTCCTGCTGACCTGGGCTTGCTTGACCCGGGTTAGCAGATTCCCGATTGTTGTGTTTGCACGCTGCGGCGCTCTCCAGCCAGTGTTCTTTTCACACCGAGACGAACATACAGAAAATGGGGGAGCAGCGGCGAATGCGACAGAGCGGGGAGGAACCAGATACCAGACAACAGTTTGCATTCTTTCACGCCTCGACGTACCAGAGGACATGATGGCGGATCAAGTGGCTGCAGGCAACATGAAGGTAGATGTTGGGATCGGTGCTGGACTCGCTTTCTAGGCGCAGGGTCCAGCATCGACCCCAGCGCGGGCGCTCAAGGTTGCGACCCGCATCGGGAGGGGGGGGCTGTCGGGCCTCAGGGCTCTCGGAAACGAGCCCGCGGTGCGAAATCATTCCCAAACATCTTGTGGTGCTGGTCCTCGTTTTGAAGAGACAGCGCCCCGCGTCCTCCTCTCCTCCTCCCCCTCCTCCCCTCCCATCACCACCACCACCATCATCATTCCCACCCATCCTGTGGTGTTGGGTCCTCGTTTTGAAGAGACTGTGCCCCGCGTCTCCTTCTCCTCCCGCTGCCCCCTCCCTCCTCCCTCCTCCCCCTCCTTGCCTCTGCTTTCGGCACTCCCCTCACACGTTTCGTAGCCCCATAGGGAGCTCCACCGAAGGTCCCAGTGGCACAGCCTGCATGCGGTTCCCCCCCCAGGGCAGCGTTTCGGAGCCCCATAGGGAGCTTCACCGAAGGTCCCAGTGGCACAGCCCGCATGCGGTTCCCCCACCCAGGGCAGCGTTTCGTGGCCCAAAAGGGAGCTCCACCGAAGGTCCCTGTGGCACAGCCCGCATGCGGTTCCCCCACCCAGTGCAACGTTTCGTGGCCCCATAGGGAGCTCCACCGAAGGTCCCAGTGGCACAGCCCGCATGCGGCTCCCCCACACAGGGCAGCGTTTCGTAGCCCCATAGGGAGCTCCACCGAAGGTCCCAGTGGCACAGCCCGCATGCGGTTCCCTCACCCAGGGCAGCGCTCCGTAGCCCCATAGGGAGCTCCACCGAAGGTCCCAGTGGCACAGCCCGCATGCGGTTCCCCCACCCAGGGCAGCGTTCCGTGGCCCCATAGGGAGCCCCACCGAAGGTCCCAGTGGCACAGCCCGCATGCGGTTCCCCCACCCAGGGCAACGTTTCGTGGCCCCATTGGGAGCTCCACCGAAGGTCCCAGTGGCGCGGTTCGTAGCCCCATAGGGAGTTCCACCGAAGGTCTCAGTAGCACAGCCCGCATGCGGTTCCCCCACCCATGGCTGCGTTTCGCGGCCCCATAGGGAGCTCCACTGAAGGTCCCAGTGGCGCAGCCCGCATGCGGTTCCCTCACCCAGGGCAGCGGTTTGGAGCCCCATAGGGAGCTCCACCGAAGGTCCCAGTGGCACAGCCCACATGCGGTTCCCCCACCCAGGGCAGCGTTCCGTGGCCCCATAGGGAGCTCCACCGAAGGTCCCAGTGGCACAGCCCGCATGCGGTTCCCCCACCCAGGGCAGCGGTTCGTAGCCCCATAGGGAGCTCCTTCGAAGGTCCCAGTGGCACAGCCCGCATGCGGTTCCCCCACCCAGGGCAGCGCTCCGTAGCCCCATAGGGAGCTCCACCGAAGGTCACAGTTGCACAGCCCGCATGCGGTTCCCCCACCCAGGGCAGCGTTTCGTGGCCCAAAAGGGAGCTCCACCGAAGGTCCCAGTGGTACAGCCCGCATGCGGTTCCCCCACCCAGGGCAGCGTTTCGTAGCCCCATAGGGAGCTTCACCGAAGGTCCCAGTGGCACAGCCCGCATGCGGTTTCCCCACCCAGGGCAGCGCTTCGTTGCCCCATGTGGAGCTCCACCGGAGGTCCGGGTTCGGCACATTCCTCACACGCTTCGTGGCCCCAGGGGGAGCTCCACCGATGACGAACGACGTCTCACAACTGCGGCACTTACGATTGCACATGGTTGAACCCTCTTCCAGGCTTTCTGTTGCTGCGTGCGTCTACTTTCATTCAGACCCCCCCTCTGCACCGCCAGGTGGTAATCGGACTCAGTGCGCCCCGCCCTAGTACTCGCAACCTCCTCCTCCTCCTCCTCCTTCTCCTGCTCCCGCTCCTCCTCCAGGCGTTTTGTTGCTGCATGCGTCTGCTTTCGTCCAGACCCCCCCTCTGCACCGCCAGGTGGTAATCGGACTCGGTGCGCCCCGCCCTAGTACTCGCGACGGTGCCGCCACCTCGCCGCTGGAGGACACTGCGGCCTTCGAGCGCGTCGGCCACACGAAGCCTCGCATTTCCTGCTCGTGGTTCCTGTCTTGGTCGCTCTCGTTTTTGTGTCTCCCTCTCTCTCTCTCTCTTTCTGTTGTTGTCTCTCTCTCTCTCTCTCTCTCTCCCTCTTTCTGTTATGTTGTCTCTCTTTCTCGTCGTCTTGGTCGCTCTCTTTGGGTCTCTCTCTCTCTCTCTTTTTGCTTGGCTTTGGCCGTTCCGCCCGACCCTCGTCTTATCCGCTGCCGGCTTGCAGAGTCGGGTTGTGCCCGCGTTTGTTTGAGGTGGATGTGCGTTTTCGTAGTGCAGTCCGATCAGCACGCATACTGCATACTGTAGTGTCGTTCGTTGTTTGTGCAAGATCGTTTTCGTTTGGCCCCCCACCCAGGCGGGATCGCGAGGCTGCGGCTGGAGTGCGCTCGGCACATGTCCGGATGCAGCTCACTTTTCGTGCCCCGTCGTTGATGTGATCGATGTACACAGTCGCCACTGGAGGAAGGCGTGTGTGTGTGTGTGTGCGTGCATGATGCGTGCGCGTACGGGTGTGTGTTCTGGATTGCGCGTGCAGTTGAACTGGTGGGGCCCATCGCTCGAGAAGGCCGAAGTTTCGCCGCCGCGGAGGAGGGGCAACGTCTCAATGTGTGTGACTGATGGACCGAGACCATTTTGTTAGTTACAAGACTGGTTTCGCGCGCCGCGGTCGGGCCAGAGCGGTTGCCTTTTTTTTCCATCGCGGTGATGAAGCATCGCGGGGCGCGATTCGTGATGCGCGAGGTTAGGCCAACCAGAAACATGAACCAGGTGCGGCCCCAACTGTGGAAGGGTTTATCATTGCATGGGCGCGTTGATCGGCGTTATTTGGCATTGTTTGGCGTTTTTACGTATTACGTTGCAGTGATTCGCGCTGCTTGGCATTGATTGGCATCGCGTTGCTTTACATACATGTATTGCCAATGCTTTGCATTGCTTGGCGTTGTTTGGCATTGCTGTCCATTGCCAGGGACCCGAGGAGCAAAACCAGGGAACTTGCGGAATCCAAGCAAGGAACATGGCTGGGGAATCTGGGGGGTCCGGCGCACAAAACCGGGGAGCCCGAAGAACTCATCAAATTATCCGGACGAAAGACCCAACCATATGCAGTTGTGGGTACCGCAATTGTGAGCAGATTCTTCGGTGTAGCTCCCTATGGGGCCACGCAGCGCTGCACTGGTTGGGGGGAACGCACGCGGGTGGTAGCACTGAGGCCGTCGGTGGAGTTTCTTATTGTGCCACGAAGCGTTGTCATGGGCAGGTGTAAATGCCAAATTGAGTGTGTGTGTGGGGGGGGGGGGCGCATGCGGACGGGTCGGTGGAGCTCCCTATGGGGCCACGAAGCGGTGTAGTGAATGGGTGAAAATGCCAACTTGGGTTTCCGGGGCGCATGCGGGGGTCCCACGGGGAGTTTCGGTGGAACTCCCTATGGGGCCACAAAGCGTTGTATTGGGGGGAGAAGCGCGGGGAGCAAGGGCTGTGCTGGGTGGTGGCGGACGCATGCGGGCGGTGCCACTGGGACCTTCGGTGGAGCCCCTTTTTATGGGGCCACGAAGCGTTGTACTGGGGGGGAAGCAGGGAACAAGGGCTGTGCTGGGTGGTGGCGGACGCACGCGGGCGGTGCCACTGGGACTCTCGGTGGAGCCCCCTATGGGGCCACGAAACGCTGAACTGGGCGGGCGCAGCGCATGGAGCAAGGGCTGTGCTGGGTGGTGGCGGACGCATGCGGGCGGTGCCACTGGGACCTTCGGTGGAGCCCCCCATGGGGCCACGAGGCGCTGTACTGGGTGGGTAAAACGCAGGGAGCAAGGGCTGTGCTGGGTGGTGGCGGACGCATGCGGGCGGTGCCACTGGGACCTTCGGTGGAGCCCCCTATGGGGCCACTAAACATTGTACGTGGTGGGTCAAAACGCGGGGAGCAAGGGCTGTGCTGGGTGGTGGCTCACGCTGCGGGCGGTGCCACTGGGACCTTCCGTGGAACCCTTTATGGGGCAACGAAACGGTGTACTGGGTGGGTTCAACGCATGGAGCAAGGGCTGTGCTGGGTGGTGGCGGACGCATGCGGGCTGTGCCACTGGGACCTTCGGTGGAGCCCCTTTTTATGGGGCCACGAAGCGTTTTACTGGGTGGGTGGAACGCAGGGAGCAAGGGCTGTGCTGGGTGGTGGCGGACGCATGCGGGCGGTTCCACTGGGACCTTCCGTGGAACCCTTTTTTTATGGGGCCACGAAGCGCTGTGCTGGGTGGGTGAGACGCACGGAAAAGGGAGGAGGGAGGAGGAGGGGGAAGAGGAGGAAAGGAGACACGCGGGGCGACGTTTCTTCAAAACGAGGACCCAACAACACAGGTTGGATGGGAAAAAAAGGATCAATGCGGGGGAACCCGAGGAACATGACCGCGGAACCCGATGACAAAAAAGGAAAGCAATGAACAACACCGCGGAACGCCTTTGTAAGGAAACAACAAATGATCCCCAGCAGAAGGCCCTTGTAACAAAACAAGGCCAGGGACCCCCCGAGGAAGGCAGACAGCCACCTGTTCTTCGCAAGCACTTTGGCGGGCCCGCATGCTGGCGCCCTGAGAACGCATCAGCCTTGCTGACACGCTGCAGGAATCAACTAGATCGGGGGGAAGCTAAGCCTTTCTGACCCCCACCCGGAGCAGCTTCCCTTAGAAACACGTTTCTTGGCTTTGCTTGAATGGGAAGCGAGAGAGAGAGAGAGAGAGAGAGAGAGAGAGAGAGAACAAAGAGAGAGAGAGAGAGAGAGAGAGAAAGATAAACAACACAAGAAAGAGAGAGAGAGAGAGGGAGAGAGGGAGAACTCCTCGCCGCCTCGCCCCCTCGCCTCCTCCCTCCTCCATCGCCCTTCCTCGACTCGCCTCCTCCCTGCGGCCTCGCCGCCTGGCGCGCAGGGCGGGCTCCAAGTGAGCCCGAAGATGCGCAACGCCATTGCGTACGCGCTGGCGCTGTTCCCCTCGGCGGTGCAGGCGGCCATGCTCGGCCACGTGCAGGGGAGGGTAGGGTCGGTATCGTTTAACCAATCCCCATCCCCATCCCCATCCCCATCCCCATCCCCTTCGAGACCCCCACCAAATTACCACCCCCAGTTGGGGATACACCCCTCGAAACCCGAAGGGACGACCTACATCCCCATCTCGGGGGGGTAAGTCGGCCAGTGGGGCCCAGGCCACGCCGCTGGGGATGGGAATCGTTTAACGATGCTCTCGCAAAGTGCCTACTCGCAAACGTCCGGAAAGCCCACGTTCACCTCGATGTAATATATCGTGGATTCCCCACGGCGGGTCCGGGCCGTTTGCGAGTAGCGACTTTGCGAGTAGCGGAACGCGCCTGCCTATAAATGTAGGGCTGGCGCCTTCTAAGAAGCAGCCTTCTTCTAAGACGTCTTCCCCCCTCCCCCTACCTTTTTGTGCGCGCCGCCAGCATCTGGTCCTCGCCGCTCGGACCCTGCCGCCAGGGAGGATCGAGGTGGGAGCTCAAGCAGGATCTGGGGGCGTTCGTCAGAGGAGCAAGAGGTCATGATAATGATACGTTCCAAGTTTTCCGAGGTTTCCAAGATTTCCTACATTTTCAAATTTCGAGGTGTGCTAAATAACCTGGATGGCCTGGAACCTACCCTGAGCCATATCCCCCCCCCGTCCCGCCTGCCCAGCACACGCCCTGCACACACGCGCGCACGCGCGCACACTTTTTTACCTGCGGCAAGGAGCCCTGTTGCAAGAGTGCGGAGCGACAGACGACACAACGACGAAGAACGACAGACGACAGACGAACGACAAAAAGCGCGGGGAGGGGAGGGGGGAGCGAGGGGCAAGGGGGGGGGAGGGCGCGCGCCACGCGCCCTGGCCCTCAGGAGGCCGTGCCGGCCAGCGGGGGGCGGCCGCGCGCCTCGCGCCCCCGCACAGCCGCTTGGTCAGGGGGCGCCCGGCCGCACTCGAGCAGCTCGAGCCCGGCGGCGCCTCAGCGCGCTCCGGCTTCGCGGGTCGCGCGCTCCCGCCGCCCGGCCAGAACACCGTCGCCGCGCGGCCGCCGCGCGCCGCTGCTAGAAGGCGTTCGCCGCCTCCCGGAACGCCAGCAGCGCCGCGGGCCCCAGAGCGGCCGGATCCTCCGTCGCCGCCTCGAGTTGACGCACGGCCCGGTGCGCTCCCGGGATCGTGCGCCACGCGTCTGCGCGGGCGCAGAGCCCGGCCGCCTGGGCCTCTCGCGAGAGGCCGGCCAAGCCGGATTGTGCCCAGAGCGCTGCGGCGGTGCCAGGGGCACCCCCGCCGGCAGCCGGAACCCCGTCGCTGCCAGGCGCACCCGCCGCCGCCAGCAGCCGCTCTGGAGGCGCAGCCGCCCGCCGCCGGAGCCGAAGGGCCGCCACCGCCGCCTCCGCGACTGCGGCCGCGCTGGCGGCGGCGCCGCGCCGAGTGCCAGCAGCTGGACTACCCGTCGCTGCTGGCGTCCCTGCCTGCCGCTGCCGCTCGCACAGCGGTAGCGGCGTTGCCAACACGCGGAGTCGTGTCGACCTCGAGGCTGTCGACGGCGTCGGCCCAAGCGCTGCACGGCGTGCGCAGCGCCGAGCGCCTGGCCGCTGCCAGCGGCGTGGCCGTCCGCTCTGGCGGCCCGGCGTTGTCGCCCAGCGCCTCGTACTCGTCCTCGATGGGGAAGTCGCCCTTGTCGAGCGCCATCGTTGCCGGGAGGGCCGGCCGGTCCGCAGCGGCGTCGCCGCAGCGGGGGCTCACAGGCCCTTAGTCTCCACCGGCTCGCGCCAGCGGATGAGAAGTTGGCTCTCCGTGAGGCTCGTCACCACGAAGCCCGCAGGCCCCTGGAGCCCGCCTTGTTGGAAGGTCGGTTTCGAACCCGACTTGTTGGGAGCGCAACCAGGTTGGAGTTGCGGGAAAAAAGGTAGAAGAGGGGGTGGGAGGGTGCCGCTGGCAATGCCTCGTGACATCGCCTATCCTACTTTTGCCTTGCCTCCAACTCCAACCTGGCCGCGTTGTCCAGAGGGGCGGCCCGCAGAAGCCCCAACGTACCGCTGATGACATGACAGACATGTAGGAAGCCGAGTCGCAGATTCAGGGGCAGCAGGCCCTTGAACTTGCGCGCTGAGCGGAAGAGGTCGGCCGAGGCCGACGCCGAGAATAAAAAGCCACGAGGTGGGGGCCTCAAGCAGTTAGATCGATGAGGTTTGTTATTTCCAGGGAAAGCCTGGATGTCGGTGGAACATGGGGCCGAAGCGGGGTGAACCCCTACCGGGCATTTCGGGGCAGGGGGCGGGGGCGGGGATGGGGGAGGGGGGAGGGGGGTTGACACACAGATCTCATCGGTTTCATTGTTTGGGTTCCTGGTCTCAGATCTTTGGGAGCTTGGTGCGAGGCGGCTGCGAGGCGCAGTGAGGTCCGTGACATGATCATGCGCCGCGGCAGGTGCAGCTCGATTGAAGCAGCCGTTTCAAGCGGCGCACCTTTTCGGCCCTCTGCCGAGGAGGTCGAGCAGTAGAGGGCCTCAAAGGGCATCTCGCAAGAGGGCCGCCTCTTCGACAAGTGATTTCTAGGGTGAAAACAACTAGGCCTTCCCAATGGGCCAATGGTGCTGGGTACAGTTTGAGGGGGGGAGGCGCAGGAGAAGGAGGAGGAGGAAGAGAGGAGGAAGTGGTGCAAAGCAGAGGGGACGAGGAGAAGGAGAAGGATGAGGAGGAGGGATCGAAAGCGACGTTAAGAACGAGAGGGGGGATGAGGAGGATGGCATATCGTTCGAACGTTGCTCTGAACGGCCCCACCTGCGTGAGACGGTGCTCGGCTGAGGCGGTGCTCCGACATGATTCCTTTTCTTCCACGGCCATTGCCGCGTCTCTGGGCTTCTCAATTTCAGTGGAGCGTGGAGGGGTGCACAGGGAGAACGGTAGTCCGCTCCCCTCAACGAGACTATGTGTTCTCCCAGTGTGGTCGGGCTCATTGGCCTTCGGTGATGGTGGGCCCATTCGAGGCCGAATGTTTGTTAATGAGTTAACTGGTGCGTCTTGGGACTTCACTGGCCCCGTAAATGCGCGCCCATCGGCCTCCAAAGAAGCCCACCCCCCCAACGGGACAAGACTTCGTGTGTGAGTGCGTGTGTGCCCGTGCGGGACCGTAAGCCATTTTGGCTCAAGCCACTGAGCTATCGGATCCCATCGATCCCACTGGCCGCCAGCCAGAGTCCCCCACTCGCCGCCAGAGCGGCCCGTGTTCCTGCAGCGATGCCCCCGAAGGGGGACAAGCGCGGCGGGCGCATTGGTGGCGCTGTTCAGAAGAAGGCGAAGAAGGACAACAGCAGTCATGATATTTCTGGAGCGCTACCCGCCGCGGGCTGCAAGTGCGGAGGTTGCGGCGTTGAGTGCGAGCCCGACTGCTCCAATTGGGGCGATTCGGAGCTCCTGAAGGACAGCCGCGGCCGTGAGGTCTGGTCTCCAATTGGTCACGGCTGCGTGGCGTGCAAAAGCTTCTGCTCGGCGAGGCAAATCGACTTCCAAGCGCTTGCCAAGGCGAAGGTCCAGGCCGACGACAAAGGTAAGCCTCACCAGTTCCAAGCAAACTTGGATTGTCACAGGGCTGCTCTGGAAGACACATGGGCAGCTAGAGACGGGCCTGAATGCGCAGTCTGGCCCGGGACGGTCGGAGGCGTCTACACGGAGGACGCCGCGGAACTCGAGGACAAGGGAAAGTTCGAGGACAAGTGGTCGTGCCAGAAAGCTTTCGACGTCAACCTGGAAAACGTGCGGCTGAACGCCACTCGGACGAAGTTCCCTGGGGACCACATGGACACGGGCCTCTTCAGGGCGCCCGAGTCCAGCGGCAGTAGTATGGACACCAAGAAGAAGCCGAATATCGTGAGGTAAATGAACAGCCGAGTCGCCATGCGCACGCCCATCTTGTCGACTAGGGCCACCTTCCCATCGCAGGCGGAGAACGCGTTCAACGCGGAGGTCCAGAGTCTGCACGACGTGTGGGGCGGCACGTTCGCGTCTAAGTACCAGCCGCAGAAGAAGGTCCTCAAGCCGTACACCGACGAGCAGATCGCGGACGCCATCGCCGAGCTCGGCCGCAAGAAGATTGCGCAGAGGGAGTCCGCCACCGCCATAGGGCCTGCCCGCCTCGGTGGCCTTCTTCCCTCGGCGTCGCCGCCGCCTGGGCCCGCGCGGTCGCCGACGTGCGGGGCGGCTTCGGCTGGCGGCTGCGCGTCGGAGCGAGGCAGTTCGGCAGAGCCCTCCCTCAGCAGTTCGCAACTCGGCGTCGCCATTCGGTTCGCAGCTCCAGATTCGCGGCGGGCGAGTGGATGATGCAGTGTCCGTTGTGCTTGCCCACGCGCCCGCGAAGTCCGAGGGTGGCGCGTCCCGCCGCGAGAGCCTTACTGCCTCGACTTCTCGCGGCGTCGGCGTCGATGCGCTCGCCGCGCTGGCAGTCCGCCCGCAGTTGATCGATGCCGACCCCGACGTCGAGGAGGACTGCAAGCTCGAGAGCTCCGCTCGGAACAAGCCCCCCCTCCTTCTGGTACCAGGTCTGCACGGCCCAGTCCGCCTTCAAGAGGGACAGCAAGCTGTCCGGGCGGATGCAGTGGGGCCGCGCGCGCGTCGCGCGCCTGCAGAAGGCGGTCGCCACCGCGCTTCAGGCATTCGGGCTCGAACCGCTCCAGCCGGGAGGGGGGGGGGGGGGCTGGGCACGGGGGAGACGGAGGAGGGAGGAGGTGGTGCGAGGAAGGACGGGAGAGGAAGTGGAGGAGACGCAGCATGCGAAGTTAGGGAGGACCGGGGGACATTGACGAGGGAGAACTGCGATGGAGGGCGGGGATAGACCAGGAAGTGGGAGTTGCTAGCAGGACACGCGGTGGACGAAAGGTGGGCGATGGGAGAGTTGAAGGGGGTGGAGGTGAGGTGCATGACGAGGTAGACGACGGCAGCCCTCTTTATGGCGTCAGTTGGCGCACGCAGTCTTTTCTCTGGTGGGATATGCGC